GACTGAAGAGTTTTTTTCACCGACTTAGGCTGAGAGATGAGTCCCCTCAAATATTTTGATCTTAACCATTCTTTTTTTAGGACTGATAAAGCCAATGTGGAGAAAGTTTCAAATTTCCCCAGTTTGTTTGTGTTTTAAAACATCATTAAAAAGGTCTAGTCCTGGAAATTAAGTTTGAAATGAGTTGTAGGAAAAAAATCCCCCAGACAGAAGGGGGTTCATACAATGAAGTGTTTGGGGATACCACACCCCTGGGTTGGGGAAGAGCGATACAGAAGTGAATTGGTATTGCTACACTTAGCTAAGTCGGGGAAGAACCACGACTGATGGGGGAGTCGGGGCAGTTGCAAAAGTGTTTTATTCCGGGGGGAACAATTTTGGGGAAGGGGGGAGATAAAAATTTTTTTTAACAGTAGCGCACCAGGTTCTTCCCTTTGGGTGGGTGCCATTGGACCTGCTAGCTTTGCCGTGTAGGAATTTACCTTTTTTGGGAGGGAGGGTTAGTGGGATGTGAGGGTTTGGGAGTTAAACCCCTTTGTTGGATGGTAAACTTATTTTAGCAGGTTGACGGGGGACCCCAGATCCCTTTTCCCTTTCTGCCCTAAGCTGCAGTAAGGACGGCGGGGGTGCAGCCAAAATCAGTTCAATGATGTCCACAGGTAGTCACTGATCCTAGCAAGGGGTCAACTATTAAAAATGGATAAAACAACTATGATAGAAACATTACATTTAGGGGGCCAACAATGCGACAGTCGTCTGTTACGTTGTTGTTCGACTGCATACTTTGCAAAGGGTAACAGGAGGTGGCTCTTTGCTGATTCTATACAATAGCAAGACATTGAAACTTAAACTAATAAATGGTATTGTAATGGGTGGTTCTAATACATTACAAATTTAAAAAAACAAATCATAGTTAAAAAGGGTGGAATTGATCGATCGATCTGTATTATTACTCAGGATTCTGAGGAAGAAATAAAGTAATTAACAACAAAAACGATCTGGTGCGCACAAATCAGTAGCTAAATCTGGAATTGGAGGGAATGTGAACACAAATTTTTTTTCTGAAACTGATCCTATTTAAAAAAACACGTGGGGCAATTTTATTCACTTGAAACTAAAATTCATGCATTTCATTAAAACCCACTTGCAAAGGGAAGATTTACATATGCAAAAGGGGTCTCTTTGGGGAGGATCAAATTTTTGCAATGGCAACACATGATTTTCAAAGATTGAAAAGTATCTACAAAAAATTTGGGGGGTTTTTTCCCTTATTTTTCGTTACGCAAGCAATAACGCTTCGGTTGTCATTGACGAGTATTAGAGGGGAGGTAAGAGTCCGGGGTTATCGATCTGTGATTAGTCTGGGTAGAAATTCATCCCCGACATCGATACTAATTTATATGATTTTAAAAGTGATTCCTTAGACCAGTATATTTTTTCAAAATATACTTAGCATTGATTGCTCAACTACCGAAAGGGGCCACAAACTTTTGATCAGTTTTGGCATTTCGGATGTTTTGTTGAAGTTTGTCATGTTACTTTTTGAACCCCCATTCTTTGTTGGCTTAGCAGGCTATTTGTTACTCTTGTGAATTCAGCTGTTTATTACAAATGTTCACAGATTCTTTAAAAAAAACCCTTTTAGCTAACTGTACGAGTTGCTATGAAAATCGGTGGGTGGATGACTCTCCCCCTAAAAAAAGTAACGCATAACACACTATACACACAAATGACAAGGGAACGGTTTTACATTTTCACTGCAACGCAGGGAAAAGAAATGAATACGGTGCAATATGTTTCATTTTGAGTCCCCACAGTGAACGGGGTTCCTATAAAAAGATGCTCGTATAAACATTTAAAAAAATGTGAAGATTTCCAGAAAAAACTTGTTACTTGCAAGGGTTACTTCGCAGGATAGTATACCCTTGGAACACAAGGAGCAACAAAAACTCGGAGTACCCGCACAAAACGTCTTTCTGCAAAGGGTTGTGACTCAGAAAAGGTATAAATCAAACAAGTAAATCCCTTACAAAGTTCCCCTGGAAGGAACGACACTTGCAAGCGATCGCGGGATAGTAGTTAGCACCGGGTTTTTTGAAGTTTTTTGAAACTAAGGTAATGTAAATATCCTCGTGCATGATATTTGGGGATTCAGACAGGAGGACGGGATTTTCTAGGGGCCCGACTGCTCGGTATAACAAGTAGTTTGGATCATAGGACTTTTTCTGAATTCACTTTCACAGCACTTTAAAATCTCAGAAACAAAGGGGAGAACTCCCCTTTCTCATGGCTAGGTATTGCTTTTAGTCAGTAAGGGGAAAATTGGTACTGTGGATGATCTATTGACTTTGACTGGGGAGATCACAAAAGGGCAAACAAAAGTGATGGGAATCTTTCAGGGAACTTTTTAAGGATTGAAAGCAAAATAATAGAGGTAAAAATGACACAAACTTAAATGGAAAAAAATACTTAACATTCTGCATAAGTAAGGAAAAATAAAAAGTCCCTGTGACAAGGAAAAATACATAAACACTCAATTTGGGAAAACAAACTTGATAATAAAAAGAAATTTACTTTACTCGATGAAAAGTACCAAGTTTCTTTAATTTGAATTAAGGACGGGGTTTCTTAACTCTCAAATTTAAAAAAGAAAAACAACAAAAAATGATAAATAATCATAAAAGTAAAAAGGGTCATAAAAAGCGCAAAAAATTAAAAAAACTGGGAAAAACATTCTCTAAAAAAAAAAAAAAATAAATAAAGTGCAAAAGAATAAAATATTTTTACGAAAAGAATTCGAAATACGAAAATTTCCCCGAATAAACTGTAGAATATTTCAAATAAAATTCTAATCAAAAAAACTGCACAACACAACACTCTTAAAAAATCTGAAAAAAAAAAATTTAAAGGCAGCACAATACGGAAAAGGGAAAGCGAATGATAAAACTGCAAAAAAAAAAAATGCCCCCAAAAAGCGTTTTCAAAAAAAAAAAAAAATGATAAAAGGGAAAGAAAATGTTGAACACTTTAACTCTTTTTGCGCTTAAGAACATTTCTAAAAAAGCAAAGAAGATTTACCTAAAAAAAAAAAAGAAAAATTGCAAAGATGAAAAGTTGAAGAAATATGAAAAATAAAAGGGCAAAAAACACCAAAAACAGGGAAAGGGTTTAAAAAAAAAAGGGAACACAAAACAATATATGCACAATACTTGAAATATTTTTTGCAAAAGGTCTTGTGTTTTTCTAAAAAAAGGAAAATTGAAAAAAAACAAGAAAACAAAAACTGGAAAAAAATGAAATTAACGTAAGAAAAAAGGAGCACTGCAACAGGTATTTACCCCTGAGAGCGGTCCCCGTCCCCCCCCGGGTTTGCCCAAGACCCCCCCCACCCCCATTAGCCCCAAAGACCCCCCCCATTTGGTACCCCACTCAAGGAAAGGCAAACCCAGACCCCGCAGCAAAGGTAGGGTCAACCACCCCCCCCACACTCACTAAAATTTTCTACTATTTTTAAAAACACAAAGTTTTAGCCCCAATAACGTACTCGGGAGTTTGTTCCCCATAGCTCTGTTTCCAAACATTTTTTCCTACATCCCCCTGAATTGTTTTTTCCCAAATGAAAAAATTGCTGCGGTCCTGTCTTGGGGAAATTTAGCCGCATTTTCATCCCCTTTATTTTTTGTTTTTTATTTAACACCTCAACGTCCCCCTAATTTAACCTTGAAGGTGCAGATTCAGGCCTCATCATCCTCATAGGGGAAAATTTTGAACATGGATCACCTTGTCATCCTCCTCTGCTTTTCAAGGGCATTTTTTTTTCCCTTTTAAACGGTGGACCCCAAAAAAAAGAGCAGAAACTAAATGAGACCTAACCCCGAAAAATAGGTTGAAAAACAAAATGAGGGCATTATTTTTATACTTTTTAGATTGAAGCCCAAAAATTCTGTTTGCTTTTTTGCGAACCCTAATGCATGTTGTTTGGTTTTAGATTCGCTCACCAGAACTCCTAAATCCTTTTTCGCAAACGTAGTATAAGATCTACATTATTTTGTTTATATGTGGATGGGTTTTTTATCTGTCCAACATTTGAACTTTGCATTTTCAAGTTAAACTGCATCTGCCACTTCCCGACCCTTTCATCATCTATTCAAATCATCCCGGAGTGCTGTAGTGTCCTCATTTAAAGAAAAGGTGGGCCATTTTGGTGTTATCGCAAATTTGCTTAGCCATTTATTCCCTCATCTAGTTGTTTTTGTAAAT